ATCTTTGTTTTTAACTAAACTTCTACTTATAACATACTCTTTAGATCCATCTGTCATTTTTAAACTTACTCTACAACTGTTTCTTTGTATGTTTATTAACTCTTTAAGTGATGATACTCTCATTGACTTAGATGTATCTAAATCTAAACAAAATATTATACCATCTATAATATTGCTCTTACCGCTACCATTTGTACCTGTTATGGCTGTGAAACTTTTATCTAAATTTCTAATTACAGTTTTCTCAGAATAACATTTAAAACCTTCAAGCTCTATCTCCTTTATGTAAAAACTTTTCATAAAATTTAAAAACTAATTTATTTTAACTTACTTTGAATTAACAACTGATCAGTCTTTAATTTATCAATTTCTTCTATAAACTTATTTTGAATATTTTCATAAAGATCTTTATAGGTGATGATGTCATATTTATAAATTATTTGATTATATTTGGTAAGAGCATAAGTAGTGTTTATAGAAAATATGTCTTTAATTTTACTCCAAAAGAAATTTCATCGTCTTCTAATTTGAATGAACTTTTAAATCCCTTTACAAACAACTCTTTATAATCACTCTTAGTTAATTTCTTCTCTGAACTTTGATTGATTTTACATGAAATAATTATTCCATTCAAATATTCTAAATCAAATAAACCATTATAAATATGATTAAAGTATAATAATGACATCATAAATTCAAGTTCTTGTTGATCTTTTTCAAGAATTAATTTTCCTTTCAATACTTCTGTTATTTTCTTTTTAATAAATTGAATTGAAACATCAAACTCATTAGCTATTATTTTAATTTCTTCTTCACTATTTGGTATTGAGTTAGTTAATTTTCTATACAAACCGTAATATTCTTTACAATAGCGTCTACCTATTAATTTGTAATGAATGAATCTAATAAAAAATCTATGCTTTTCTAGTACCTCTTCCATATTCTTATAGTGCACACCGTTCTCATTAATATAATTAAGTAACTCTCTATTATCTTCTTCTGAAAATCTTTGATCTACATAAGGGTGATATATGTATTCTAGACAATTGTAAATCTGAGCATACGTTCTTACTTTTAATTTATCACATATCTCCCAAATAAGTGTTGTTATGTCAATAGTCATCCAACTACTCTTTAAAAATGTTGATTTAAATTCATCAAGTTGTAAATTTTCTTTTTCACAAAAATTTGTAACACATTTTGATATTAAATTCTTCTCGAATTTATTAAATCTACCGAATTTTAATGTTATATTTTCTTCTTTTGCTATTTTATTTGCTTGCTTTGATATTATGTATGTTCTAAAAATTTCATTGGTCATTTTATAAAAAATTGAATTTAAAAATGGTGGGTTTAAAAATTTAAAATTTTATTATAAGAAAATCAATTTTTTACAAGTTGTTAATTTTATCCCCTGATTTTTCGGGTCGATTCCTAATATGGAACTAAGGAATAAAAAAATTATTTTCTAGAACCCTAAATTAGTTAATAAACATGAGAATAAAGAAAATTTTTAAAATAAACAAGAGTCGGAAAAGTGTTGAAAAAACACCTTCACCAACAAAAAGTAATTTTGTAAAAAAAACTTCCTTTTTCTGATTTGCTATAAAATTTTTAAAAAAAATATTTAAGACTAAAATTTATTTATTTTATTTTTTAATTATTTTTTAATTATTTTAAATTTAAAATATTCTTAAATGAAAAAAAATATGTTTAAAATATCATTTACTGATTAATCAAAAAATTTTATTTATTAGAAAACAAAAAAAATTATAAAATCTAAATTTTTAATTATATGTAGAATTCCTTTTTAAATAAAATATTAGTTAAATAAACACAATTATTTCCAATTAAAATTTATTGTTTATTAATTGAAAATAATTCATATTATTGATCATTTGATACAATAAAACTAAAACATACATGAAACATCCATATAAAAATAAAAATATATTC